CACAGCGGCGGGGCCTCCGCCCCCTGTCAGCCGCCGCCCGCCCGCCCGCCAGCCCGCCGTGCCATTCGTTGCGTCAGTGTTCCAGGCTGGACCCGCGGAGCGCTGCATGGGGTTTTTCCAGAAGGCCCGTTTTGGGAATTGGCGGCATTCCTGATTCGGATGCCCCCTTCCATCATGCCTGGTGCCTGCCCACCGCAGTGAATGTGCGAGTATATTTTGCCTCGGCTGTAAACACCACAACACCACAGCAATGCGGCCCTCGACATTGCAATGTGTACTGCGATGCGGGACCTGCCCCTTGCAGGGCGGGTGCATCCGCTTTCAAACACCTGGGACATTCTACCAATACGAGCGTAGCCGCCGCAATTCTCTGCCTCGACACAAGATTGATGCCTCAACCCCATACTGGTTCCTCAACTGCCACCTTATGCAGGTCGTGATGTGTATTCCTCAACCGCCGTCCAATGATGGAGATTGTGACATGTAAATATCAGCCATATGTGCCCGCCGTCGCGTCTATAACCCTACCGCCGTATCATGATGGAGATGGGGACATGTAAATATTACCCATGTGTGCCCGCCGTTGCGTATATAACTCTACCGCCTTATGCAGCTCGTCATGTGTATTCCTCAACCGCCGTCTACTGATGTTGGAGATTGTAACATGTAGCTATTACCCAAATGTGCCTGCCGTCGCGTCTATAACTCTACCGCCTCATACTATACACACGATCCTCATTCACGCCTGTTGACACACATCATCGTCATGACGCATCCACAGCCGCCGGCTTCCGCGCCGCCGCCGCTGCTCCCACCGCCAAACCCTCACCCTCAGCACCACCATGCCCCTCGGGCGTCCACAGCTCAATCACCTCCTTGCCGCCCTCGCCGCGCCCACCACCACCCTTCCTCCTCCTCTCCGTGCGGTTCAGCATCTCCATCCCCAGCACGCCCGCCGCCATGCCCGTCAGGTGCGACGCCACGTCCACCTTGTAGCGCATGGTGCGCCCCAGCCCCGCCAGCTGCACCGCCGCGATGAGCGCCAGGAAGACGATGCCGTGGACGCCCTCGCGCGGCAGGCCAAGCACCTTGAACCCGTCCGACCGGTGCTCCCAAAAGTACGCCGCGCAGAGCCCCAGCGTCGCCCCCGACGCGCCCAGCGACGTCACCGTCAGCCACCCGCGCAGCGTGTACGTCGTCAGGCTGCCCAGGAACCCGACCGCGCCGCACCCCGCGTACAGCGTCGTGAAGTCGGCCCGCCCCAGCTCCTCGTGCAGCGCCGTGCCCACGAACCACAGCGGCACCATGTTGACCAGCAGGTGGCTCAGCTTGGTGTGCGAGAAGACGGCCGTGAAGAGCGTGGCCGGCCGCGGCGTCGCCACCACCAGGATCGCCCACTTGTTGAGCGTCTTCCACAGCGGCGGCACCCGCCACGCCAGGAACACGGCCACGTTGACCGCGATCATGGCTCCCACCGTGGCCTGCGCCGTCGACAGCTCGCGTAGCAGCCGGTAGCGCGGCATCGGCTCCTCGTACACCATCGCGACGGCCGCCATGAAGCCCAGGACCAGCGCCACCACCGTCGCCGACGGCACGATTCGCTCCCACGTGCGCATCTCTGGAGGCGCCTCCAAAGTCGACTGTGCCTTGGCGTAGTATTCGGCCACCTTGGGGTTCGTGATTGCTCTCGTGCCGTCTTCCCTCTTGGCCAGGGGTCCCGCGGCGGCGGCTGGTTCCTGAGCCTCCTTGGCTTGGCGCTCCTCCTCGAGTGCCCGCTCCCGTGCCTTGTCCTTTGCCTTGATGCGCGCGCGCATCGCGTCAAAGCTGCTCCGTCCGTATACCGGGTCGACCTTGGCTTCGTCTTCCTCTGTCGCTTGCTCCGAGGCCGCCTCCTCGGCGCCCTTGGCCTTGCGCTTCTCGGCCTGCTCCCGCTCCAGCTCCATCTGGTTCAGCTCGTCCTCGGCGCGCAGCCCCGCGTTCATCACCTCCCCGACCGGCACCGTCTCGCGCAGGTACGCGAGCCCCGCCGCCATCTGCTCCGGCGAGAACTGCGCCGTGTGCACCGCAAACGCCGGGTCCTCGAGCGTGCCGGCGACGCGCCGCCCGTGCAGGATCCGCAGCAGGTGGTTCGCCGCCGCGGCCGTCATCCTCGGCCCAAATATGCGCTTAGCCTCCTCATCGGTGATGTCCTTGCTGCGGAAGACGAGGCCGGTCTGGTCGCGGTAGTCGCGCGGCAGCTCCTCGTAGTTGCGGATGATCTTGGTGGAAGAGAAGAATGTCCGCCGCGGGCTCGTCTCACTTGCGGGGCTGTGTAGTATTCGTGACGTCTGCCATTTTCGTTGGCACCGAGATGTAATTGATCGAGTTTGGGAGCTGCTGCTGCTGCTGCCGAGGAGGAATCGAAGGGGGACCGCAGAGCTCTGCATGCAGGTGCTCTTTGTGACGCCCCCTGCTGCCACTCTCAGCAGCGCGCGCCGGGCGTCCGCGCAGATAAAGGCGCTCATCCCGTATATGCCAGCGCGTGTAAGCGCGGTCGCAGGCCGACAGGCAGACGGGGTGGTGCGTCGTCGTCCGCCGGAGTCGCCTCGCGGATGCCTGAGATCCAAAAATTGTAGTTGCAGAACTTCGGCGAGAACGACGTTCGAGTATGAACGCAGCCCTCCCCAGCCTAGCGCCGGCAAGGGTCCCCCGACCCCACCACGTCTACGACCAACCAAGGACCAGACCGACCACCTTCCATCATCAACCTCGAGAAGCTTCCGCTCGCCCAGGTCTGCCCCTCCATCGCCATTCATCCCTCCGACTCTTCTCCCCCTCCACGCGACGCACCTCTCACCCACTCAGCCATGTCCGCCGACACGCGCCCCATATCGCCCGCGCGCTTCGCCGCCGCGCTCAAGGACCTCTCGGTCGGCATGCTGCACCTCAAGGTCCTCGAGATCCGCAACTCCATCGCCCACCTGCAGTACTCCAACGACCAGCTCCGGCCCTTTGCCGACGGCTCCGCGACCGCGACCGCGACCGCCACATCCACAGCTTCTTCCTCTGGGACCAACGCCCCCGCGGCGGCGGCGGCGGTGGCGGCGGCGGGCGAGCCCGACCAGGACTGCGTCGACGCCATCCGCGAAAACGAGCAGGTCATCGACCGCATGGCCGAGCGCATCGCCCTCGTCCGCATCGAGGTCGAGGAGCGGGGCATGAGCTGGACCGAGTTCCAGAGCAAGGACGACCTCGTCGAGGAGCAGCGCAAGGACGCCGACGACGCAGACACAGACGCAGGCGGGGCCGGCGGCAACGCCGCGGCAGCAGCAGCAGTAGTCAACGGCGAGGCGGCGGCGCCGCACTCAGCCTGGACGGACGGCACGTTCCAGACCGGCACGATACGCGGCGGAGAGGTGCATTTCGACAGCCAGCCCGGCCGCCGTACGGACGCTCCGACAACCGCGACGACAACGACGGGCGCCAACGGGGCGGGGACCGCTGCCGCCGCCCACGGGGGCAGCCTGTCGGACGAGCAGCTGCGGCGCGCGCTGGAGGAGCGCATGCGGGACCTGGGCGGCGACGACGACGACGAAGGCGGCATGCACCTGTAGGATTCGCCTCGTGGCCCGAGGTTGGAAGACGCACGGATTAAGGAGTACTGGCTGGAAGGGCAGGCAGGGCACTACTGGAAGGGCACGGTGGTACTATTGCATGGGCCGGCGTTTTGGGTGCCTGATTTGCTACTTACACGGATCGTCATCTACGGTGAGGAAAAAATTATATATTACCACGTTACAGCGTGTCGACGCATCGCGCACGCGCCGTCGTCCGTCTCGAGGCGACACTTGGGCCGTTTCGTCGCCGGCGCAGCGACCACGCAGCATCCACGGGGCACCAAGACGGGGTGTGCGGAGGGAGCCCAAAGGGGGGGCGTACGAGGTTGCAACGAGCAAAGAAAGCCATGTTATGCGCACAGCACCGTAGTCTAAATGTACGGCCGTGCTCTAGGGCAAGGAATTTACAACGACGCCGACCCATGAGCCCGAATGCGCGGGTACCCAGTATCCAAAAACACCCCGCATGCAATGATTCCCAAAAAGACAGCCAGAAGCACGAGCCAGTCACCAGACCCAGAATGAAACGAGGAAACGAGGCCGAAACAAACAACTCCGCAGTGCATGTGCCACGCTTCGAAATCAGGAGGTCGCTTTTTCTTGGCAAACGACGCCACGGGCTCGCCGTGGACGTGTTATTCCGTGTCATCGCCGACGGGAGAGTTGACCCACGTCTTGGTCCTGCTCCTCGTCGACTTTTGCCGCTTCGTCGCCTTCCTCGACGACTGGCGGCCGCTGCTGCCCGTGTCGGTGCTCGGTATCGTCTCTAGTTTAGGCCGCTGGGCGGCATGCGTAGAAGTGCTGTTGTGGCTCGTCGTTTGTGTAATGGGCAGCGGCGCCTCGTTTTCCGAGTCCGAGTCGGCTCCCGGCGGCCGCGCCGCTGGAGGTCGCCGGGTCCGCCTCCGCCTCTCAAACGGGTTGTCTAGGGAGTCGTCTGAGTCGTTGAAGGATAGGCTCCGGCTCCTCGTGCGGGCGGCGGAGTGGTGGCTCCGGGTCAGGAACAGGGACTCAATAAGCTCCGTCTCTGTCGGGTTGCTCTCCTTGCGCATTCTCTCCATGGCGAGCTTCTCCTTAAGCATGCGGCCCAGGTGTGCCTCGTCAGATGCCATGGTCCTGCCGCTGGACCTGCTCCCGGTGCTGATAGCTCGAGACACAGGCACCTTGCCTTCCATGACCTTGGCGGGCGGAGGCGGCTGCAGCATCCACTTGTGGGCGTCTCGGTGCGGCGGCTTGCTGCTGACGACGGGCGGGTGGTAGTCGTTGACTGGCGGGTTTCTCGGCGAAAAGTAAAAGTCGCGGCGCTCCTGTTCCGTTACCTCCTTCTCGATGCCGAGGGTCGCGTCGATGAGCCTACCGGCCGAGTCTCGCGCCTTGGAGAAGGCATCCATCAGCCTATGGCCAGACCCTCCACCGGCCTGACCCCATAGCTCCTCGTCCTCTCTTTGGTAGCCACGGCGGCGGTTCCAATCTTCTGATACGGTGTCGTCCTCGGGCAGGGCTGACAGGCTGTCGGCAAAGTTGGTACGACTGTCCCCTACGACAGTCTGCTCCGACATGCTCGGGGCGTTGCTCTCCTGGCCGGAGCTTGTGAGCCCCCTCTGGCTCGAATTCTTGCTGGCGGCCTTTTTGGGCAGGCTGGGACCCATGCTGATCTCCTCCTGCCAGTACGGGTTGGTGTTGAAGGGTGAAGGGTGGCGGTACAGGCCGGGCTGCTCCGTCTCGAGCTTGGCCTTTTCCAGCCGCTCTTTTCGCGCCTGCTCCTTGGCCTTGTGACGGTGGCGGACCTTGGCACATGGCGTGCAGGCGACGAAGTAGAAGACGGCTGAGCGGAAGGCGACGGGGAAAGACATGGCGCCGGCTCAACAGCAGTGCCGTGACCCGGGTTGCGAGTGTCCCTCAATTGGCGACGGCGTCCGGCGCGGGGACATGGGAAAGTAGACGCCGTAAACGTAATGTTGTAGCCGATGTGGTGCAAGAGGATTCGCGGTGTAGGGAGACGGTTGTACGCGAGATAGGTCGATTGCGTCTCCCGGGCGTGTAAGTCGTGGTCGGGGCGGCCGTGGATAGTGGTGCGACGCGCAACCGGGGTGGGACGGCGGGCGGGACAATGGGGACGGCGAGGCGAAGAGCGAGGGATCGGGACGCCGGTGGGCAAGGAGCCAGAGTTGCAGTCGTCGTCGGCACTCGTTCGGCGGCGCTGGAATGGGAATGCTGACGGACCGGACGTCGTGTGTCCGTGTCGACGTGTCGCACAGACGACGGGCGAGGGGGAGGGGCGAACGTCACGTCGTCTGGCGGGAAAGGGGTGGGCGCGTTGGCTCGGGGCTTCTCTGCTGCAGGAACGGAGCGGTCGTCAGGGATCGGCGGTCCCGGGGGTTAGAAACAATGCGATGAAGACGGGCCCGGCAGAGACTGCAAAGGTCGGTTTAAGTAAAGAGCAGGTTATTGAGAATTGAATGCAAAGCGCGGCGACAACTGACAGAGGAGATTGGGAGACGAGAGCGAGAGCGAGAGAGGGTGGGAAGTGGGAAGAGAGAGAGAGCGAGGGTTCCAGGGAGGCGGTGCGTTGAGGGTGGTGTTGCTGGGCAATCCCTGGGCGGGACAAGCAGGCGCAGCCAGCCGGCCACTGTCACGGAGGTACCTTCAGGGACTGTATTACTGTGTTCTCGTGTCGGACCGGGGGTGGTGAGGGTGCGGAAGCCAGTGTCGGGTGCAGCAGTGCGCCGACTCGGGACAGTTTGGGGCCGTTTGGGGCCCGTTGGGGCTGGCGTTCCAGGCGCCTCCAGGTTCCTCGCCTCGGGTGTCCGGGGAGGCACAGGCCAGGGGGGGGCGCCCCGCTGGCGACGGACCCGGAGGGACCACGCAGCCACTGGCGGGCGCCATCAATCTCCCTCGCAGCGCACCTCGACGAGCGGGATTGGCGGGCGCCCGGGGGGTGTGGCCCGCCTCCATTGGCGGGCTCCCGAGCTTCCGGGGGGGTTCCTCGCTGGCGCGGCGCGCGCGCTGGCGGCGGCGGTGCAGGCGACGCTGGTGGTGGTGGTTCTGGTGCTGCTGGTGTTGCAGCCGCTGCCCGTCCCGTTCGCGACGGTGCCTGATGAAGGGCGGACATTGACGATCCATGGATGGACTGGAAACGAGGTCCCCTGTTTGCCAGGTCTCCATGCCGTGCCCCGGCTGCCGCCAACACCGCCTATCATGCACTTCGTACAGACCAGCACCAACCCGACAGGTCGGTGAGGGAGGGTGCCATGGGCGGGCGCCCGTGCAGCGCAGGCTCTCGCTCATCAATCCATGCCATCCTAGCCCGCTCCACTGATTCCATCGATGGATGGACCACGGCGAGAATCTCCCGCATCTGCCTGCCCAGCCCGTGCTGGTGGCGTCTTGGCAAAGGGGCCAGCGTGCCGGTGACGTTCCAGCGCCTCCCAGCGAGAATAACTTTTTTCTGTCTGTCAGTCTTCTTCTAGATCGTACCTACACACGCTGATGATGACAGCCACCGCCAGGCTTGCCGTTGGGTGTTCGTATACGTACGAGGTACATCTGAGCTACTGCCTGTACCTCGTGCGTCGCCGCCGTCGCCGTCAGTCGTGGGACGTCCGACCGCCCGGGCGCCCCCCTCCCTTCCCACGTACCTGGTCGTAAGGCGCGCGCACATGGCATCAGGTCACCTCACAGGCGACTCGGTCGTTTTCCCTTTAGTGACTTATCTCCATCGGAGAGGAGAGGATAACTAAGATGGCGGCGCATGTTTCACTCGACGACGACGACGACGACGACGACGACACCGGCGCCCCGGGACGCGCAATCTAAACGGAACGCTGACGATTTCTGACGCAGATGCGGCGGCGGCACCGGCCAGGGGGGACACAGCATGTACTTGCCATGGATGGCTTGTGCATGCCCTGGCTGGCTGCCCGCGCTGGGCTGACTGTGCGTGCTGCGCTGTGCTGTTGTTGGTGTGTGCTCGTGTGAGACACGCGATGGGCCCTTCTCCGCCTCTCCGAAACGGTCCCCCCGATCGTGGGCGCGCGCCAGATTGAAAAAAAAGGTGGCGTCACGACGAACAACTGCAAGGACTTTCGCAAGGAAGCAGCAGTACCGAACTGTACGAGTACAGTCGATGTAGCCGTCCGTACCGACCACGGCACTTGTTGCTGACCACTGGGCACTCGCTCGCAGCCACCCCGAGAAACCTTCTTTTTGGTGATCATGAGGCGCACAAAGCCGTTCGAGTCCGTCTTGGGGGGGGGCGCCGTTGTTAGTGCCGTCAAGAGGAAGATTTTCTGGCTTTCGTACCAAAATTGTTTTCCTGTGTCCCGCCGAAACGAGCAATGGCCGCAGCGCCACGCCTCTTGGGGGCCCCCCAGGCATCTCCTCATGTTCTTCTCTCTGACGCTTGCGCTGTTTTTAATCAAAGTCGTCGTCGTCGAATGCCGGGGCTGTGGCGGGCGGTCAGTCAGGGCGGGCGCGAGGTCCAGACAGAAGCCCGCTCTCGGTGCCGCTGGTGCCGGTCGGCGCGCCCGTTCCGTTGCCTCTCCTCGGAGACACGCCATGGCATACGGCATGGCACAGTGCAGTGCACCACATGCTTCCACGCTGCGGGCCGCACTTTGCCCGGAGTCTGGTACAGTACAGTACAGTATTCTGCAGTGCAGCCCGCGTGATGGAATATCGCTGCCTGCTGCTGCTGCTGCTGCCTCTGGCTGAGTCGTGCCGTGTGCTGAATCATGCATTGGTCGGCATAGGTTGGCGCTTGCGAGCTTTGTTGCTGCCCAACGCTCTGTCTTCATACCCCTACCTGGCCGCCTTACACCGGCGAGTTCGCTTTCCGTAATTACCTACCTGACGACCTATTCAACAGTGGCCGGCTCCTTGCGTGCCCGTCCAAGCGTTTGCCTGCCTGCGCTGTTTCGCAGCGCTTCAACAAGGTCAATGATGACGATGGCCTCCCTCGCTTTTATTTTTTGTAATCTACCGTAATTACTACTGTACTGTGTCCCGCTGTCCGATGCATTGACGAGGCGTGAGGCGTCCCCGGCGTGACGCACCGTGGTCATGCGCCCGCATGGCCAGACATTCACTTCATCCATCACATCACACACATGGCACTCGTTTGGAAGAGAGGTTGGATGAGCCCCGGTCTCGTCACTGCGCATGGGCAAACCCGCCTGCTTGCCTGGCGCTCTGGCTGTCTGCATGCTTCGACTCTGCATCCTCAACTCGTACTCACATGCAGCAGTTCAGCATCTTGTTCAGCAGATGCGCCTTCGCCGCCGCCTCCTCCATGCATCCATGCACGCGTCGGCCATCCACGGAACAGAACCCACGCAAACCACCGTCGGTCATGCATCCCCAATCCCCAACGCCCACCTCAACTACCTAGTAACTAACACGTTTCCCGTCCCGCCCCCGTCCCTCGCGTGCAGTACTTACTGTACTGTACAGCCATGCGCACGAAGGACGAAGCAGAAGGAACTGAACTGCAGTATGCAGCCGCCAGCTGCAGCAGTAGCAGCTAAACCCCAACCCCTCACGTCGTCTTC